CCCCAAAACCCCAAAACCCCAAAACCCCAATGCCCAATATGATAGGTTGCTTTCGGTATATCAATTATATAAGTTATGAAATTAAAGCAAGTCAGAAATTAATAGTCTCAGTTATTAATACTCTAGAGAATACATCATCAATATCAGGATCAGTATTCAATATATCGTCATTATTCTTATTATTGCTCAAAGGATTATGATTATTGTCATCATTGATAAATCCTGTTATTTAAATGTAGTCATTCACACAACTAAGGACGATTTCATTCATAATCAGTTCTGTTGGAATGTAAATAAATTTAGGCCTTTTATTCATCAGATCAGAGAAAGTTGTAGTCTGATTCAAATCTATCGTGCTTTATTCATATATCATTTTACCGCTACTCTCTGTTATACTTTAAGTATCGATAGCTAATGATTTTCGAGAGACTATGTTAAGTTTTGTTGTTGATAGGTTTTTATTTTTTGTCATAAACTTACTCTTTCCTTTCTTATTTTTAGGCTTTGTTGTAATTTAATCATCAGCAAGTTCATAGTCTATGTCCTCAACTCTTTCCTCATCAGCATTATCCATATAATGCTGTATAATTTGCTAGGACTAGTTTATAGAGTCCTTAGATATATGAGTAGCAGATTTCTGGAAACTGGAGGCAGCCTTCACATTTTCTTTTTTCATTTACTACAGCTTATCATTGCTCCCTAGTTCCTAGACTACAATTTGATTGAAATCCTCTGATTCTTATTTTCTATGCTAACTACTCTAATCCATTTTGTCTTTTCTCATAGTAACCATCTTATGAATTATCATATTTTATGTTTTATAAGTCTAATTATTCTGATGAAATTTCTATAGCTTTTCAAACCATTCATTGATAGCTATGACATACTATCTCTTGCATTGTAAGAGATACTCTTTAATAGCTCTTTACTTAAAACTTTCAGTGACAAGAAATAGATTCTTTAATATCTGATTGTCCTTTTTACACTTTTACTTCTTTCTCTGAAATTCCCTTTAAATTGCGAGACATGTTTTATTCCACAATTTCTCAATCATTTTTACTCTAGTTACAGAGAGCTAGATTTATGATCTAATTAAATTCTACATAAAGCAAACTATTAAATATTATCAGTCAATAAAGATTACTTTTCTCATAAAACTTTTGAATTTTCTAATCAATCTTTCTTATTTCTTTTTTATCAAATAGAAATTATCTTAATATTGCTTTAGTTCTATCTTACACTGCATCTTATATTGTATTTGTGGTCAACACAAAGTAACTAATAGATTAAAGTTATTAGAATATTATACTGTTAAGTTAGCCTTTGATCACGAATCTATTTAGGAAACCCAAATTTCTTAACATAAATACTCCACACTCTTAGTAACTTTAAAGTTGAATAAAACTATTTCATGGCTAATTCTTTGCTTTCTTTTCTTCTCTATGTGTTATCTCTAACAAACATGAGTTTTTATTTCAGAATCAATAGTGATTTCCAGCCAAGGGTCCTCATTTTCTTTTTATTAATCTCATTTTTCTTAGCTTGAAGTTCTTTTCTCTATATACATTAAGTTGTTAATAGATTTCTTATATATTACAAAATATCCTAGTATCTCTCTTTTATTTAGTAAAAATAACATCTTCTGATGAGTATTTTCGTCTATGCTTTCTTTTCTTTTTAATACAGCATCTTACTTGTAATCAGTAACAGACATAGTAGATGGCCTTTGACTTATAAATTCTTGAATGGCCTATTTCATTTACTAGGAACTTCTTTGAAATCTATCTTGAGTTCTTTTATTCCTAAGATCCTCTAGTTATAATTAAAATAAAACTTTGTTTAATTACCTATTCCCTCTAAGAATTCTTGACATCTTTCAGGATCTTCCATTATTTCTTTCAATTGCTTTTTAAGCTTCGACCTTACTATCTTATTTTCTTTTCCTGGTTCAAGATAAGAAATGTTTTATGGCTTAAACTCTAGCAATTTAAAATCATACTTATTGTATTTTTAGAAGGAATATCTAATGGATATCTATGCTAGCGAGGTTCCTTTAATGTCATGAATTCCAATATAAAGGTGCTCTTCTTTAAAGTTTTTATGAATTTGGTCATTTATAATGATCATTGAGGTATTATTCTAATTGAAGAGTCATACAAATCTAAAATGCTTTACTTACTTTTCTTCTAATCTCACAGTTATCGAAATCTGGAAACCTATGCTTTCTCGATATGTACATATTAAACTCAAACTCTTTTGGAATTTATTTTATAGCTAGGATATACAAAGGCTATGGCTGATGTCTAAGGCTAATCTTGGCAAACACATGATCTAAACCTCCTAGTTTGATATAGTTTTCCTTCTTTTCTACTAGATCAAAATGAACATCTGGCTTTGGAACCACTTAAATCAGATTATAGTTGAGATTCAATATTTGCTCCTTTGTCTTAGTAAAGAGTTTTTTAGTCTCTGACGAATCAGATTTTAAACTATATAATAGATTAACAGTTAAGGTTAAGTGCTTTAGTTAGCATACCTTTTAATGATTTGCAAAGCTTCATCAGTTAGATGATTCCATTTCGTGAGCTTCTGATCAGTTTTTATATTTGCTGTCTTTGTCAATGAGGATTACTCGGCATTACTTTCAATTGTCTCTTATCTCATGAAAGTAAAATTTTTGGCAATTGCTTTAGGATCTAATATCATTTGGTATTCTTCATTCAATTTAGGTTATTGCTGTAAAAATTTGTATTCCTTCGGGAAAAATTTCATCATTATATTTCTTCTTCGCTGTCTATTTTATTCTATTAGGGAATCTTTTTTGCTTTATATTTGAGCTGTATGCCCTGATACTGGATTAGCTATTGATGTTGAAAATTATTTCTCTATATTATTTAGGAATGTCCCTCCAAATTTGGTTTTTCCATTATGATACGTTTAAGTCTAATAAAGATCTTAATTCTATTTATTATTTCTAGAATTTTTCTATGAAGAAGTAATATATTTATTATTTGAGCTTCCGGATACAGCAGAAGGGAGAATGATTGATTTCATCTAAGAGGAACTGCTTTAAGAAAAAAATTTTGAGCGTTTTACCTTTACATCAAGATGTTCCTCAGATCTCTCTCTGTTATTTTAAAATGTTGTGGCTGTAAGCTACCGAGATTACTCATTGTTACTTTGAAATTCAGCTTTTTCTTTTATGATTGATATTTTTTGACATTATTAACTATGATTTTTTCTGCTTCTCTGGTTTTATTAAGATAAAAGTAAAAGTTGCTCGCTATTATTTCTAAGTATTCTATTCTAAGTTGCCATTGATATCTGAATAGAGTTTCTGTATTTTTCTATACGCCCAAAGGAACTTGCATCACTTATACTTGTCCTCTGGCTTCCAAAGAAAGGGAATTGTGCCAATGTTGTCAAATTTTTTTAAGATTAGTTTTTGGCCATTTTGATTGGTGATAGATCTTTCATATTTTACTAGAGAATTGTAGACTGTTTGAAATCTCCTTAATTACTTGCTTGGCAATTACCTTAAGAACATTTTTATCTTTCAAATTCCACATCTTTAAATCTTATTCTAATAACAGATTTAGGTTTTTCAGCTATTGGATTGTAATCTACTCCCAGATTAGAGATGAATTTAGAGAACATTACCCTTTTTAATAATCTATTTGAACCTATATTTATTATTTTATGAACTTACTTCAGTCATATATTTTCCTCATATTCAGCATTATGGGGTTTTGGGGTTTTGGGG